CCAATAGCTGTGTATTCCAGATTGTATTTGCTCATTAGTGGAGCATGAAATCACTTCAGTGTGAGGTAGCCAGCCTGAAAAAAATCAGGATATGTCAGAATGCAACATATGTGATTATGTACACTGTTGATTTTTATAAAAATATTTTGCCATGTGAATGCACATGTATACACACATGTATACACATACATATGTACTGGGTTGAGAAGACTTTTCTCACTGTGGATCATGGGTTAGTGTTGCTAGGCAGCAGGGACACAGGTGAGGAAGTGCACGTGGGCAACAAAACTCGGAAATTTTCTTTTCTTCACAATACTGCTGAATGATAACACAGCAGTTACAACTTACTTAATCTGTAAAGTCACCTGTTAAGTTGCAAAAAATAAAAATCAATTAAAAATTTCAGTGGTGCAACTGTCCCTCCTTCTTTACCGCTTTTCACAGTCCCTTTTCCAAAATGACCTTCCAGAAATTTTCTATGCAGATACAAACACCATTTGCCACCCTACTCTTTTAAAAAAAAAAAAATAAAGTAAATGAAAGCAAACTATACGCAATTCTGCATCTTGCTTCCTGCACACAGAGTAATTTCAGCACATGAAGTGCTACCTTGGCATCCATACCGCAGTCACTCTACTCCATTACACATGCTGTCATTCATTTTAACCAGTTTTGATGGACATTCAAGTTGCATCCAGTCTTTGATTATCAAGTGTTGCACTGAACATCCACACACATCTGTATGTACATTCATGTAGTAAAATCTAGATGATAAATTCCTGGAAATGGAGTTCTTGGATCAAAAAGTTTGCACTATGGGCCCTCCCTGGTGGCTCAGCGGGTTAAAGCGCTGCACTAAGAAGCTAAAGCCACTTCCGCATGGTTCGATTCCCACCTGCCCCAAAGAGATCCACATGGCGTGGCAGACCTCTCCTGACCTGCCCGCTGCTCCCCTCAGCTGTGTACTTCATCTATCTGCCTGTTCTGCTCCCCACTCTGTCTCTGGTGAATCCTCTCACCGCCCCTGCATCTCTGGCCTGTACCCCAGTTCTGTATGCACAAATAAATCTTTTTAAAAAAAAAAAAGTTTGCATTTAGATTTTGATAGACATTGTTAAATTTCATTTGTACACTTAAGTTGTTGCAAAATACAGTACATTTAGTTGCCAGGACACTGGGGCCTGGATGTCTTCTCCTCTTACATTATCCTGTCTGGCCCTCCATTATCAAAAGCTCCTCATACCACATTCTGACACAGTACTTTTGCCTTCCTGCTTCCCCCACTCTACCCTTCAAGAAAAACACTATTCAAAACAGTCTTCTTGGACAATTTAAATTTCCTTGATTGTAACCATTACCTTAGTGCTCTGCTTTAATGTCCTGCGCTACCAGGGAGGGCCCGTAACCATTATCTAAAAGGTTGGGAATAGTTTATATAAATTTAACTCTATTTTAGTTGGATTAGCTAGGAAAAGGCAGTGTTTTAGTTTCCCAAGAACATACTCTTAGGCACTGCTTCCAGGTATAGCCATAGCTTTGGGGCGGTTATGTAGCTCATGTTTGAGCCACTGAGATCTCTTCTCTGATCAAACTTTTTGCAGTGAGATCTGCATTTCAACCCAATAGTAATAGGGTTAAGTCCATTGTTGTTTCTGTAAATGCCTCCAGAGCACAGGGTAGTCTTTGAACCTAGGTAGATATTAAATTCATTTTTTTGGAAGAATGATACATTATAATGCTAATTGCTTGCAATTTTATTTATGGAACATCAATATGGCAAGTATCTCCATTTTATCATATGTAAAATTTTTATTAAGCTGACTACAGGGTAGGAGAAATTCTGAAGAGGGGAGTAAACTCATTTAAAAAAAGCCCCAAATCTCGAGCTTCACATCAAAATTTGTAATCTTTACTTCCCTTTTAGTTTTCACACTTGATTTTCTTCAATAAAAAGGTCAGCAATTTTTATTAGGGTTAGGCAACACACTGAAACATTTTCATACTTCAGAGTATGGAAAACAGATATTCTACTAATGTCTGTATACTAAACGCAGATTTCAAATATGTTTGCAAATTTCTGGTTATAATTTCATTATGGGGTAACCTTGGCCAAATAGGATACAATAAACATTCACTTCCAAAAGGTGAATTCTTGAAGAGGTGGCTATAGTTAGAATATATATTGAATTGAAGCACAAGCCTAGGAAAGTTGCTGATCGTCTAACGTCTGGAAGTCAGTATAAAGTTGAAGTTAAGACTTTTTCTGCCAAATCCCAGTTCATCTTTACCAGAGAACTTTTTCTCAGGAGCTCAGTGAAAAGGGGAGTCTATAAAATATACCTAACAAAGCATGTCAGCAGCTTGAATGAAGCAAACCAGTCCAGATCTGAGAATCCTAATAAATAAATGAAGTTGAGCATTTATTGCCAACAACCATGTCACTGGGCCACAGAAAACTGGAGCCGTGCAGCTGGGAGATGGGAGTGTGCAGCCAGAGAAGGCGATGGAACGCACCCAGGCTTGATTATTTATGGCGTGCTGATGAAGAGACAACTTTCCTTATGAGGAACAGCTTAACAGAGGAAAAGTCAAGCTAAACCAGGAAGAGATCCAGAGAAAGAGAAACAAAAGGGGATGTGAATAAAAATGACAGCTAATAAAACAATACAAATCTAAATGCTATAACTTTCAGAAATAATTTAGGGTCAAAAGCAAAGAAAAGAAAAAGCCTAGTTTTGCTGGCTTTGGCGTAATTTTCCAAGAAGCAAAAGACATTAAACAAATGAATGTGCTGACTTTAAGAACAAATTCCTACCTATAAGATTGGCTGCTCCGAGAGCTGGATTTATTCATAAGGACAGATGTGGTGATTCTGTTTGTACTTAGCTCATGTAACCATTTTCTGCTGCCTATTGTGCATTCTTCCATGTCAGATGTTAAGTGCTAAACGAAGAGGCTGCCCTCATGAGGCTTAATCTAGTGTGGGAAGTAGGTGAAGTCTACTGTCAAATCCCAGATGCTAGGGTGAGTGCTGTGATAACAGCTGGATAAGGGCTGGGGAAGGGAAAGGAGGGGCAGACTGAGGAGGAAGACAAAGTCCAATGTGGACGCTGGAACAGAAATTAATTTGGTGTATTTTGTTTTCTCAATTAATTGAAGAGACACCATGCCATCCAAAACCCAATTTGATTAAAAAGTATACCCTTTATGCAATGGTACAAATTTCTATGGTTCTACGTAGTTTTCATCCATAAATTCTGCACGTGTGGTCTACCTGAGCTGTTTTAAATGATGTTTCAATGGTATAACACACCTCTTCTTGCATGTCTGACCAAAAGCGTAAGTACCAGCCATCCATTACTGCATGGCCCGAGTGTGTCAGATGCTTTATTTGTGTCTCAATGACTCTTCACAACAAGGCTTTAATGTAGGATCATTGCGCTGGTTTTAAAGATGTCCGATGGAGCTACAGAAATTCTCTGTGTCCCACAGATTTAAACCTCACAGCGCTTTCTCCTACAACTCACTGCTTTTGGGTTGACTAAGGTTGGGACTGGGCCAACAACATATCTATGCCCAAGAAAGGGTTATCAATTAAAACCCACTGGTTTACCAATTTGAGTTGTTCCCAAATTTACTTGCATTTAATTACTCCCTCTTTTCTTCATCTCTGCAGGAGGAGTCCTGCTTTCTACCATTCCCACAGAAGAAACATTACTCTCAAGGGTCAGAAACTCCTCACCTTAGATGGAACTGGGGCTGTTCCCACTGTAGTTTTAGGGGTGCTTCTAGCCGAGTGCTGTAACAAGCATTCTGCTTGAGTGAATCCATATATACAGGCTCCAACTGAGGCCCCTCTGCATCACACACGTTCTTAAAACAAATGTTCTTAAGACAAGTGCACCATTTCCCCCACCCTCACCTACAGATCAGCGTTCTGATGAGAAGGGGACCTAGCCAGGGCATTTAATCAGGAGCCAATCACATTTTGTTTTCTGTCCTGTTCCTGATTCTACTTCTTCCCAGGGACTGCCTAAGCCTTTGCTGCAAGAATATGTGGTCAAACACTGAGCACAGATGGATGTCTCCACAACCTGGGGGGAGGGGGGGCTTCATACTTTTCTTTATGTGCTGGTTGGATGTATTCTGCCCCCACACTTTTGCCTACATTTGTAGCCCAGACCCACATCTCTGTCCTTGGCCAAGTGGCCAGTGTTTCTGAAAGACTGTTCAGTGTCTGAGATCAAAGCAGTCTGTGAATTATTTTATAGTTTGAATTCAAGTCTCAAGGTTTGAATACATGTAGTATTCTTGGGGGATATCATTGTTTACCATCTTCAACACCAAAAGTCAAAAACAAACTAGATACTGCACAGAATGGTATAGCTATTTCATTGCTAACCCAAGTCTAAAATTTACACATTAGAGATCTGATATTCTCTTTGAAACTGAGTAGTGCATGATCAGTTGATAAACTACAGTAAAATCTTTCAGCAGTTTTCTATCTATTAATCCTCAAATCTATAAACCACTTGCAAAAGAGTCAAGGATTGAAATTTCCCTTTTCCTATACAATTTGAGCCAAATTGTGCCTTTGACCACATACTTTTAAACCTAGACATTTAAAAAAATTATTTAAAACTTGTATCAGCTTATTAGAATTTAATCCTTCCCGCTGCTTAGGTAACTTTAATGTAGAAAAATCTGATGAATCCTTGGTCAACATGGGGAAAATAAGGCCACTCACATGCACAGTATTTTAGGAAAACAAGTGCTCCATCTTCCCCTAACTTTCCCACCTGGAAATAAATCTCAGTTGTCAGTCTACTTAAACAGAAAACATTTGAACAAATAGACACATACATGTACATTCAAACACACCTTTTTTTTAACTGAATAAAATTTACATCCTCTACATTGCAATTTCCAAATTTTGATTTTATTTATTCTGAAATAAAGTCTAAGACATTAACAGTTAGAACATAGAACTTTAAAATAAATCTGCATATGGTTAGAAAAATATGCATCAAGGACATATATATTTCTTAAAAAAATAAAACTATGTACAAAAATCATTTCTGCTCACGAGTCCTTATCTAGCGAGATTTTTATAATGGAGCACCACCAAAACCACAAGGTTTTGAGAGAAAAGGCAGCAGCAAAGTCCGTTGGCCCCCATGCTTCATTTTTCAAATCCACTGGCGAGCTCAACCACTCTCTGGGCAGAGAGCGCATTTAAGATTGTCCAAAGTCTGGGAGGGTCCTCACATTTGTGGCGCTGTTCCCAGTGCACCAGGAGTTCTTCTTTCTTTCTCAGAGTCCGTGCACAAAGGATGCAGTGAAAGCCGGACTGGGACTGCGGGGCGCCGGTGTGCGGGCTGGGGCACTCGGGGGCCTGCGGGTCTTTTCGGGGCTCACTTGGTTCTGCTGGGGCGCCGTCATCTTTCATGAGTGTTTCCATATCATTCTGGTGATGAAGGTGCAGGTGCCCTTTCGACTTAGGAAGTGTGTGTAATTCCTCATCAGAGGGGCACTGCTTTTCCTGCTTTATTCTCTCAGGACACTGTTTCCAGGGAGCAGCAGTCTGGCTAGCCAGGTCTTCAGGAGCGCCTCTGCTTCCTGGTAAGAGCCTTTCTTGTAGTCTGCCCTGACTTTCCTCTCCATGAACATAGAGTAAATGAAACTTTATTTCAGCAAAAGACTGAGCAGTGATTTGACAGCGACCACATTTGATTTGTAATTTGACTTCACCTGCCTGGTTTAAGAGGAGGTCTTCTTCCAGGCATGACTTGTTTTCCCTGAGGAGAGGGAAAACAGTCTACATAAGATTTCATGGAAAGACATAATTAGAATTTTACCTGTCAGTTTTTGTCTCCAATAGCAAAGGCTGGGGGTCCACAGGCAGACTTCAGCTAAGGCTACTGTGAGGAGCAATGGTCACTCTGTGGGGCCACATGGTTTGCAAGCTACAGGGTCCATTTAGTTGAAAAGTGTTTCCTTTAAGCATCTCCCCCGGGGCACTAACTACCTGTAATTGAGGTGCCTGGGTCAGCTGAAGGTAACCACCCGTTGGCCCCCCAGTTCTCCCTGTGCTTGCACAGCAAATGCAGTTTGGCAGTTTTGCTGGAAATCAACATGCACTACATGAAAATGGAGGAGAAGAAATGAGGTTTCTGTAGAGAGTTGTAATGTACATTAGCAAAGACATCTAAAAGGGGACAGAAATTCCTAAAGAAAGACAGGGAAATCGGCAGAAAAGTTAGGGAGAAATGGGACAGGCATACGTTTATTTTTAGTGAATAAAAATGGAATAGAAGCAATTAGGACAATGAAGAATAATGAAGGGTAGAAAAGCTAGCAAATTTTCATGGAGATGAGGAAAACTCATCTTATTGAAGATGGATTCTGCCTTTGGTGGAAAGTGGACAATTGAGGGAGTTTTGTAATTAACTTATTGCTTTATTGTGGGTCCTGTGGTTGTTGTTGTTGTTGTTTTAAATTTAACTTAGTACCACTGTTTTACAAATTTATTATTTTGAGGTAAACGATTTCTCCCCTCAGGTGTGGTCACCACCAAAACACTCATAATCTTTCACCAAAGTCCACTGGTGCTCTCCCTGTCCCAACTTTACCCCTCCTCATTCCCCCAAAGTTATCTACTTACATGTGAAATATAAAGGAACCAACGAGAGATCAGTCAAAAAGAAACATTAAAACCAGCCCTTTAAAAGCTGACCATGGAGGGTCTTCCTGGGAGTGTATGGGGTTAAGTCTCAGAACCATGAAGCTATTGCAGCCCTTCAGCACAAATTAGAACCCCAGCCAGGGGACCAACAATGCGTAGCTGACTTCCCCTGTTTCGTCTGCTGCTCCCCTCAGCAGTGTATTTCAATACATCTGCCTGTTCTGCTCCCCACTCCGTCTCTGGTGAACCCTCTCACTCCCACCCCCTGCATCTCTGGCCTACACCCCAGTTCCTGTATGCATAAATAAAATAAAGCTGACCAAAGAGCTGAAGCTTATTTACAACAATAGCAAGCCATACTTGCTACAGACAGACATAGGAAAATGTTCACTCATACTAATGGGAAAAAATGAGGAAAAATATGAAGTGTTAGGTGAGGAAACTCTGGGTCTGGGCAATGCAGGAGGCCCACATCAGGACCCACCATGAGTTGTGCTGTGTTCTGGGGCAAATGATGCTGTCTAGATTACAATTCTGTGTACATGACTTTGAGGGGAAATTACTTGTAAAGAGTATCAGGAACTAAACACAGTATTTGCTATGTCATATTTTAGATACAAAAAAATTCTCACACCCTATAGTTCCCACCACACCTCAACTGGCATTTGTGCCCTGGCTCACGGGATTTAGAGTAATTAAAATCATGACTAGTCAGAAGCCAGATATTTCTTCACAGAACTAGCAAAAAGAGGCAGCTACCTTATGAAACCTTTATCTAAGAGAAGTTTTTATGAATTTGGCTTTCTGAGCTGACATCCTACCCTGCCTCCCCAGTCCAAACAGACTCTTTCCCCAGGCTTCCATCTTGGTGGCACTCACCTCTCCATGGACCCTTCCATCCCTCTGGTATTCAAGTCTCTGGTCCTTGGCATGTCCCCTACATGCAGTTCACTTGGGGAAGGCTCAGTGCTGATGATAACCCTGTGCACTTCTTTTAGGTGGCCGAAATAGACTCTGACATGACCAAACACTTTTGCGCAGAATTCACAGCATATGAGTTTCTTTAGACGGCTCTCACTGTGATGGAGTTTCATGTGTGTGCTCAGGCTGCCAGAATGTACATACGCTTTGCGACAAATCCTACAACTGTAAGGCCGTCTGTTAGTGTGTGTATTCATGTGGTCTCGAAGGTGCTGTTTGAATTGGAAGACGTGGTTACAGAAGTGGCATCTGTGCCAAGGCTTCTTAACGCCAGAGAATCCATTTCTGAATGCACAGGTGGATTTAGGGGAAGGACTGCCATCCTGTTTACAGTCAAGATTTTTAGGAGTGAATAAGCTGCTCAACAAAAGGCCTTGTCCTATGCTCTCCGGTGTTTGGAATTGCAATGTAGGTACAGGAGAAGCCAGAGTGGGCATGACAAGTACAGGTTTAGGCATAATGCTGCGGTATTTTTTTACAGCCCCGGGTTTTGGGTCTCTGGACTCTTGGAGATTATTTTTCAGCCTATCATTTTCTCTACCCTTATTAATGATATATTTTCTCCTTTTCCCCTGAAATGCTAAAATTTCATCTGGTATCTTTCGTTTTCTTCCTCTTCTCTTTGCTGTCCCCCTGCTGAGTTTCGTTTTGTGGCTGAGATCTAGTTTGGTGACTGGACAAAAGGGACTTTCACAGGGACTCTGCTTGGACACAGCTATCTTGCCAGCCACTGTGGTGGCTTCTGTGATAGAGGATGTCTTGTCACAGTCTGCCTGGAGTCCAGATAAAGAAAAATCTGCAATGTTAACATCTGATTCACTTTTGCAAACCTCTTTTGTTTTCACTTTTGGGCAGGGCAAGATAGGCAGTTTACCTTTGGGTATCAACTGAATTCCACCACCTAAAACAGCTGGGGACAAGTTGGTCACAACTTTTCCAAGGTCAGTGCATTCTTTACAATTTTCATTGGCAACAGAAGAAGGTTTATTGGATATCTTTTTGCTTGCAGAGTTTGCTTTTCCAGAAAGCTTTGTGAAGCCCTGCTTGGCAGAAGGTTCCCCTGGTATGGACAATGTTGGGCTGGCAGAAGAGTTTAGCACTCTCCGGCCTTGCGTCAATGGTGGTAAAGAATGTCCGTGGCCACCTCTGTCGGTCAGCACAGTAGTGCCCACACTGGCTGGGGTGTGGTTTAGAGATGGCAATCGCTCAGATTGGCCTGGTTTATGTGGAGGTTCTGGGTGATCAGGTGGGAAGGGGGATATCTGGGTTTGGGAAGGGGGTTTGCTGCAGCCACTCTCAGGGGAGTTAAGAATGGGTTTCTTTCTTGATCCTTTGTTGTGTTGTGGGCGCTGGTATCGAGGAATCGGCAGTTTAAGGTTTTCAGGCAAGGGCATTATGGGTTTCTTGAATGGCTGAGCTGAGGCAACGTGTGGCAAAGCAACAAGAGAAAAAGTCCCCTCCTGGCCAGCCACTTGCATCAGAGCATAATTCTGGGTGGGCATCCCTAAGGATGTGGAGTTGATGGAGGGTCCTGGGTTCCCCTGATCGCAGAATGATGGTGAATGGCAGGACAGTACTCTGGGTGTTGGAACTTTGGGCATAATTTTTGGTGCAATAGTCCTAAAGTGACTCTTACTCTGCAAACCTTTCCCACTCAGATTTGTTCCAGAAGGGGTGTTTGGTTCACCTGCAAAGATAATATAAAAAGTCAATTTTGAGTAACTGGCTGATTGTTAGAGTGTAAATAAGCATCATATCATTTATTCTGTCTTCCTAGACCCAGCTCGACCATCTGAGAAACTCCCAGTTGATGGTCAACTCTTGCCCACCTTTCCAAGGGCTGATGATTATTATCCTCTATGGGTCCATAGCCCCAATTAAAACATTTACCACTTTCTGTAATATTTTGTTCTGTTTGTGTGTCTCAACTACTAAACAGAGCTTTCTCAGTGATGGGACTCTGTCCTTCTCATGCTCATATTTTGCAAGTAAGTCCTTCCCTTTACTTAAATCTGGTTCACTTTTATAGACCAGAGCAGCCCGTTCTCCTTCCTGAATGCCTGAGTTGCAAACTCTCCTCTGACCACCTGTTTTTGTTTATTCTACTGTGTATTTTTCTTATTTTACATACATGCCTCATTTTCCCTATTAAACGTAAGGTTTATAGGATACACCTTATATTTGATTCATCTTGATGTTTCCACTCTGTCTTTGGTGTGAGACAAATGTTTCTTGCATTAAATTCATTTTTTTCATTCCATTTCAGGATACATCATTTGACCCATTGGCAGTGCAATTTGTTTTGCACACTGGATGAATTCCAGACTGAATGCTAGCTTTGTTGCTGTTTCCTCATGTGACTTGTGAATTTCTTCTCACACCTTTCAAACTGTTTATGTGTGCTTTTGCAATTAAATCACCAGTATTAAAAAAGCTGATGTGACACCTTAAAAAAATGTCGAAGAAAAACAAAAAGATAAACAAGTAAAGATGCAAAGACAAAAAATATATGAATCACACAAAAAGCGGTTTTGAGGACACTGACAGGAACAATTTTAACTGACAGAATAATACTTCATACTATGGGTTTATTAGGCTGACCAAAGACTAATTACCGCTACTCTAAGAGAATAATAAGAGAAATATTTGATGTACACTTCTCGGGAGAGAGTTGCTGACTTTATTCTGTGAGGCCTCAACGGCTAAAAGGGCTGGCTGCAGAAAGTTTCCCATTTGTAAGTACCACGTATTGGTCAAACTACTCCTCTCACATTTATATTACAATATTCTAGAGACTGGCCATTGCAGGCACACAATCCTTTGTGAAAGCTTTGGGGCCACATGTGCTTTGGAATATACACTTTCAAATTTTAGAAAAGCAGTAACATACATATACAAAATGTTACATAACCCTAACAGTTTGCAGGACATCCGCGACTGAACCCTATTACCACGTCTGGAGCAAAAGACATGCATGTTTACAATAAATGGGACAAAACTACCATTAAGTAGTTTTTACCTAATTTAGTTTTTGCCTCTCAGATTTTCTATATTCAGAGCTCTTTAGAAGTTGTGAGTAAAGGATTGGAGAACTATTTGTTTTTGGGGTAGCAAGGACACAAAGACTAACAGATGCAATTTCTGTTTTTGGTAGCAGCTGGCAAGCTTGTGAGACATACAAGTAAAAGCTTTAAAAATCAACCTTATCTTAAGTTCTAAAGTTAGTGTAATAATTTTAATAGCAAGCTTATTCTTTAGGCAAAATTGACATTTTGCAAGTCACATAGTAGAAATAAGGATGAAGAATATACTGATTAAAGTAACTGGTTGGTGAAGAAAAATGTATGTTAAAAATATATTTCACATGGTAGTTGGCACATTAGAGTAAGAAGAAAAAACAACAGGCCATGGTCTTGAGAAATAAGATAAGGGTGATTAAGTAATCTGATTGGTTTCTTTTTTTGTTTTACTACCTTTAATTGGTTAGTCAGTCACTTTGTAACAATCACCTAAATAAATCTGCTATGCTTGGTTGTTCTTCCTACATAATTTTATTCACTTTTAATTCTATTTTCATGGATTTTTAATAAAAATGCCTTTCATGTTAAGCCTCATCTTTTTGTCTTTTGGAAAGTACGAAAAATAATGAAGTCACCTGTAAAAAAAATATACTAGGATTGAAAGAGTTGAGAGAATGTTTCAAAATACCGATGACATCTTTGGTTGCCTAGAGAGAAAAGTTATTAAATAATTACATTAATAAGAATAAAAGTCTTTGCATCTACATAACAATTGGGGGTGAGAGAGGGAGAGAAAACTGGGTCTTTTATATCTAGTACATATACTGATTGTACAGAATATATTTACAGCAAGAACTGGAAGAAAGCCTTTTGTCCTTTATTGGTGATAACGCCTCTTGAAACAATAATGAGGTGCAACACCTCAGTCATCTGCTCAAAACTGATCAATGGCCGTTCATCCGACAGCAACGCCAGCAGCCTGCTGGGCGCACGCCACCCAGGAACAACCGCCTCTCCCCTCCCCCTGTGGCCACAGCGCTTCTCAGAGCCTTTGCACTTGCTGCTCTTACTGTCCACATACTCTTGCTCCAGATAAACCCCCAAAACTAACCATCTCCCTCAAGTTTTGCTCAAATGGCCACCTCCCAGTGAGCTTTTCCTGACCATCTACTTAAAATACCCATTCTGAACTCTTTATTCCTCTTTCTTTTCTAGTTTAATTTTCTCTAGCACATTTGTTGCATCTTATAGATCACATTATGGTCCCCTGCCTTCTTTCACTGGAGGGTAGGGATTTATGTTTTTAGGACCTAAAACAGTATGGGGCATGGGATAGCAATTTAATATTATTTATTGAATTTCTAGGTGATAATAAAGATCAGTGGTGGAAATAATGAACCTAGAAAATTTTCTAAAAGATGAAAGAAAAAATAAAAAGAGAACACAATTTAAAACTAAGCTTCAACATTCCTAGATTTTGAAGGCTAAAAAATAGAGGAGATGGGCTCTCCCTGGTGGTGCGATGGTTTAAAGCACCACATTATGAAGCTCTACTAAGCCACTGCAGCACAAGTTTGATTCCCAGCCAGGGAGCTGATCCACATGGCGTGGCAGACCTCTCCTGACCCGCCCACTGCTCTCCTCAGCAGGGTACCTTGTCAATCTGCCTGTTCTGCTCCCCACTCTGTCTCTGGTGAATCCTCTCACCCACCACACCTCTGGCCTATACCCCAGTTTTGTAAGCATAAATAAATCTTAAAAAAAAAAAAAACAAACTTGAAGATTATAAAAAAAAAAGAGGATATATCTCTCGACCATTATTCTTTTCTTCAATTTAAATTTACTCACAGCCAAACAAGGGTTAGCATCATGTTAAAACTTTGAAAAAAAGGGGGAAGTTGAAGCAGAATGACTGAGGAAATAATGAAAGTGAACATTTATGCTGCTGGGGTACAAAATAAAATAGCCAAAGAGATAAGCAAGTTCTGAGGAAGTAAAGAAAACATAAATCTACAGAGGAAAAAGAGATTAGAGTGAAGAGAGGACAAACACCTACAAATGGAAAACACTGAACCTAAAAGGTAGAGAATAGTAAAGTCAACCTGAAGAAAAGAAGTAACAAAGAATAGAAGACACAGCTGAAGCAACAAGCAGAAGTCAAGGCCATTCAATGTCTCTAAAGACACAGGTTAAGAAGGGGCTCCTTCATTTTTATGACTAAATGCAAAAGAGCATCTGATGCAGGCTGCACAACCAGGCTCTTTGACATGATCTGGGCATTGGGGAGACTCCCAAAGAAGATGAGGGGTTTTCTAAACCTCCAAAGAAGATGAAACCATGGGAGTCTCTACAGCAATGACTGCTGAAACTTCCTCATTTGTTCTTGGTTAATAATAGTCTATATGATTGGGCTGTCTAAATTAACTTGGTTAAAATATTAATTGGCATAATACATAACAGAAATTAACATTGCAAGAGACTAAGAAAAACAGGTTGTGGCTCTGAAGACAATGGGAAACAAAATTGTGTTAAGCTAACTGTGGCAGGTGACTGGAGTCTCACCCGGGAGGTGTGCTTGTGGCATAAGTAGAATTTCTGGTGTGCTCTAAAGGTCAGCACCACTTCACAGGTGATATGGAGGTTAGATACCCTTAGCTTAGAAAAGACTAAGATAGACAATGATTATAGGAGTTAGACAAGAATAATAAGTTGCAATAGTAGAACTTCTAGGAAAACAATATATTAGTAATATTCTTAGAAATACATGATTTTTAGAACAATAGGATATAGGGATAAGAATCTATGATAGGGAGTTAGTAAGGTGGTTAAACATTACCAAATGTCCCAAGTGATTGATTGTGCTGGGAAATGAGGTACATTTAGAAGCCTTGATTGTTTCTTATGTTTTTCTTAAGATGACCAAATAAGTTTCTTTCTAGTACAAGGCCACAGGGGTCTGCAAGTGACTATGAAAAATATGTAATAATTATTTTTACTTTGTTTCAATGCTTTAGTTGATGTAATCTCACTGCCTGCTTTAACATATAAATAAAGACCCTCTGAGATGCTCAGTAAGGGATACTTGCACCAGCTCGAGTGTCAGTGTCTACCTCATTGCTCATTTTGCCAACGCTGCCTCATCCTTCAGGAATAAGACCCCTGACCAGCTACCTACCAGAGCTGGACTTTGATATCTGGTGCGGTCTCCAACAAGCATCCTTCTGACAAGAAAGCAACCTTTCACTTTAAATTTCAGAATTGACTCAACTTAACAAATACTATACTGAAATGAAATGAAACTAGATATATCTTCTAAAATATATCTATTACAAATATATTCTATTACAAAAGGAAATGAGCGAATTATTGATGAATTTAAAGTTAATATGTTTGGTTGATAGTCAATAGTTTTTGCATGGCAGTAGAAATAAAATCACACAGTAAGAGCAGTGACAGTCAAAGGAAAAGGATGCTGAATGTGGTCCAGGGATAAAGTAAACCCCTCAGGCTAAGAAGCTGTTCCACCAAAAGAGGGGAGCAAGAGGACAATGATCAGTGAGCCTGACCAGGGGAGCAATGGTCAGTCACAACAACAGCTCCTACATGACAGTACAGTATTTGTTGAGTCAATTCTGAAATTTAAAGAAGAATTAGAATTTGGGGTAGA